GATGGCAACCAGAAATGAATGGTCAGGATGTCTATTACTTCCTGCAGAGAGTTATCATTTAATTCCGAGAGCAATGTCACTAAGGGACCAGCATATTAAATCTTATCCACTCGTGAAAGAAAAGCCATGGATAAGAAATGTGAATGGTTTTGTGAATGGGGAAAGTCCAGATGAATCAGTGGCAGTTTGGCATCTGATTCAAGCTCTGAGAGAGTTCATGAACTGACCATTGAGGTCATGCCCTGAATTATGTTTTATGAATGGGAAACTGAGTCAGCTGTTTTTCTTTTGTTCCACTTGTACTTTATCAGAGAGACTAAGGTGCAGCATTAATCTGAAAATTCTTATCTAAAGTCCTCCACAAACTTTGGACACAGATTTCTAGCCTTCTCTAAGTCATTCAGAGCAGTTGGCCTTTAGCTGAAAGATGCCCATTTTATACAGATGTCAGGAAGCCAGGACTGATGTACAGGAAGTAAGCTTTTGACTATCCAGATAACTGGTTGACACTTCTTGAATTGAAATTTCCCCAGTGTGGGCATGGATCCCACAGCATCACTGGTGAGCACAGCATCTAAAAAGAAAGTGGCTCGATGAATATTTGGACAAGTAGGTGTCAGGTGTCCGGTCTGCTTGTTTAACTCATGAATTAATAAGGGAAGAAAAACAGTCACTGCTTGGATGTCCCTTTGTTGCTTTCAAGTATCTGGAATAGAAATGCACATTGGGATATGAACATGACTTGGGAAACAGAGTCTCCTGCTTTGCCATAAATGATAGGGCAAGTGACTTAGAGCAGGGAGAGCCCTTGGCCTCATCAGGTCCAACCCCCTCATTTTATAGATGGGGACACTGAAGACCAGTGATAGGAAGTGAATTGCACAGTGATGCTAGTGTGTGCTTGAGGCAAGATTTGGACCAAGGATTTGCTGACTCCCCCACTATTTGTAAGCTCCATGAAGGCAGAGACGGTCTTTTGCCTCTTTTTGTATCCTCAGTGCCTAGCACAAGGCCTGGCATGTAGTAGGCCCTTAAAAAATGTCTACTGATTGGTTGTCTCTAAATCCATCATTCTCCATCCTATACCACCTTGTGTTTCTTCCCCCATTTACCCTTATCATTTCTACAATAATAAAACATGGTGATTAAAATAATAATAGTTAACATTTCCATAGCATTGTAAGCTTTTTAAAAGCATTTTACAGATGTCATTCCATTAGTAGCAAAGGGGACACATTCCTAGCAAAGCAGTAAGGAACATTCATCAGGTTGGTCACATGCAGCTAGTGATGTTTTTCAGGAGTCTTCTTTCTGATAGTAATCGATTTACTTTGACCATGAACAAATGGTCACGGTGCCCTTTTCTCAATATGTGTGCATGTGTTTATTTCTTTATTTATTACTCAGAAGATACTCAATTTTAATTATGTCAGTGTTTGTATTTATGTTTGATTCCCTGCCCCCCTCCCCAATTCCTGGGACATTTCTCCAGGGAAGGTGACTGAATTTCATAGGCAGTGAGTAGAAAAAAAAAATGAGTGGAATAAATGTCATCACGATTGGCCTGCAGTTATCTTTATATATCATTCCCTGCCCACCATTCATCAGCAAAGGCCACCATGTGAGCCTGACCCTTTGGGATCTCTTTAGGGTCTACCTTGTTCAAAGACCTTAGTCTCCACAAGAGCCACATAGGAATGACATATTTCAGTAAAATAGGTCTCTGGATATCCCCCTGTGTCTCAAACACCTTCTTCCCCACTGGTTCTACTTATACTGCCTCCTGGCTAGGTAGATGCTTCTCATTCCCATTTCTCTGGTTCCAATGAAGCCATCACAATGAAGCCTTCAAATACCTACAGTTATTTCTTCCATGAAACATTTCTTATATTAACACATTGAGTAAATCAATTCCACTGAATCATAGGAAAGAGGCAGAAAATTGGGCCATTGCAACGGGAAAATTCATGGGACTGGCCTGGAACTCACAAACCTAGTGCTCACTGAAGTGCAAAACATTTTTACTTTGAATGGCCCCTCTTAGAACTTGAATCCAAGGAGTGAGTCATGAGAGAGATGCCAGCAGGGTCTTGTTTTCAGCAAGGAAGCCAAACTGTATTGTTATGGAATCTCTGGGTATTTTCATTTCTGTGTTTGCAACTATTAGCCTGTTGGCCAGTTCTGGGAAGACAGCCAGGAAGGTGAGACTTGTGTGTGTTTTCCTTGGGCCTCTGTGCTCCAGAAACATGCAACATCAAGAGGGAGTTCATCTGCGATAATTTCCTTTCTCAGGTTCAATGATCTCTCATACCAAATCTTATCCTACTTTCAAAGACTTTTCCATAAATTTTATAAAATAATTAAATCAGCATCCAGCTATTTTGGGGTAGTAAGAGTCCACATTAATCTCTCTTCTGAAATTGGGAAAAACTTAGAGGTGTGAGGTGGGAGAAAAATTGGTTTAAACCTTATCTTTTCTGCTAACTCATTTTGTGACCATGAGTATGTCACAACCCCTCTGAGTCTATTTCCTAATTTGTAAAGTGGAGGTATTAATACCTGTTGTACCCTCCTCTATATGCTCCAGGGCTATTGTGAGGACTTTGTGACGTCATATGTATAAAGCCTTTTGTGAATGGTATGGTCTGCCAGCCCATATTCTTTACCAGATTGCAAGGTCTTTGAGGAAAGAGAACATGTTGTGGACATTTGGGGCATCCTCAATACTGCCAAGTGCAAAGCTCAGGGCATTAGAAATTCTCACAGAATATTGATGGCCTAGAATTCAAAGACATTTCTGATTAGTAAATTTTTCACAGGAATGAAGGTGTTGAGTGAGTCCTCATGAGTTCAGGAAGCTGTGGATGCACCGGTGGCTTAGTCAGGTTAGGGCAGCACCACTGAAACTACAGGTGCAGATCTCTAATTCTAGACTGCTTCACCTACATGGAATGTTTCCACAACCTCAGGCTTAAGCCCTAGGCCCCTCTCCCAGTTATCCTTCAAATGACCCACAGTTAATGTAGAGAATGACAACAAGAAAAACAAGCTGAACTCCCTCCTGTCCAATTGGTGTGAGATAGAGTAACTTTGACTTTTACAGGGTAGTTTCTTTTTCTTTCTTTCTTTCTTTCTTTCTTTCTTTCTTTCTTTTTTCTTTCTTTCTTTCTTTCTTTCTTTCTTTCTTTCTTTCTTTCTTCCTTCCTTCCTTCCTTCCTTCCTTCCTTCCTTCCTTCCTTCTTCCTTCTTTCTTTCTTTCTTTCTTTCTTTCTTTCTTTCTTTCTTTCTTTCTTTCTTTCTTTCTTTCTTTCTTTCTTTCTTTCTTTCTTTCTTTCTTTCTTTCTTCCTTCCTTCTTTCTTTCTTTCTTTCTTTCTTTCTTTCTTTCTTTCTTTCTTTCTTTCTTTCTTTCTATTTCTTTTTTCCTTCCTTCCTTCCTTCCTTCCTTCCTTCCTTCCTTCCTTCCTTCCTTCCTTCCTTCCTTCCTTCCTTCCTCATTCCCTCACTCCTTCCCTCCCTTTTTTCTCATTTTCCTCCTCTTTCTTCTTTTCTTCCTTCTATGTCTCCTTCACTTCTTCTTTCTCATCTCCCTCTTCCTTTTCCTTCTCCTTCTTCTTCCTCTCCTCCTTTTCCTTCTTCTCTCCCCTTTTCTTTTTTCCTCCTCTCCATCCTCTTTCCTTCTTTCTCCTCATCCTCTTTGTGTAGTTGTCTTGATTTCTTTATAATGTACGGAAATTCATACAAGATATGTGGACCAAATATCTGGGTTCAAATCCTGTCTGGGTCACTTGACTTGTGACTATATACAACTATATAAATCTCTGCTCACTTTGCTCATCTCTGCAATGGAACAATAATGATATAAGCAGCTGCCTCCCAGAGTAGTTGGGAGGAAGCACTTTGTAAATCAGAAAGTGTTACATTATATGTATTAGTTTTAATATTCTTACTCAGAAGAATCTCTCAGACACTTTCTAAGTAATTTCCCTCTTTATTCAGATTTCCATTTTGGGTCGATACTATTAAGATCTATTTAGGTCCTCCTGGGAAAAAATGTTCTTTGTGACAAGAAAGAAAGCAGGCCTCTGGACTTTGGCATTCAGTTTTCTGTCCAACTATAATTGTCCATCATTCACATTTCCTTCACCCTTTCTAAGGATGGTTTTAATTTCCAATGTACTTTCCTCTTTTTTTGAACAGCATTGCAGTTAATTTTCCTGGGTATGAAAAGACATTTCTCTCCCTCATATTTCTTCCATCTTTAGCTCTCCAGGTTGTCCTAAGCCATAGTCACTCTGTACTTCCTCTATGATTGGCTATACATGCCTCAGCCTCACCTTTATATTTTGCTTTTCACAATGTGACCCAGCATTCTTTTGTATCTGCATGACCCATAGCTTCAGACCCTCATACATGAATGCTGCTCCAGACAAATGGAAATTCTGGCTGTTCCTCACAAATCACAATCCATTTCTCCTTTCTGTGACTTTGTGTTAGCTGGATCACATGCCTGGTGTGCCATTCATCCTCACCTCCATTTCTCAGATGACATTTGCTTCTTCAAGTCTCACCTCAAGACCTATCTTAGAGCAATCATTACGATATCCATGCTGGTAATGGTGATGATAATGACAATGATGATAGGTAGCATTTATTTAATGCCTACTAAATATCAGGAACTACGATAAGAACTTTACACATATTATTTCATTGCACCTCACCCTGTACATGAGATTTTTCCTGATTAGCCACTCCAGCCCTTTTCCCTTCAAATAGCATTACATATTCCTATGTATTTGCACATCGTGTTTCCTGCATGCACTGTAAGGAGGACAGGAACTATTAATTCTCATTTTCTTTTTCTTTCTACCCTCCCTCTGCTCCACCCTAGGATTACTGTATAGTCATTGGTTAATTAAGTCTTATTGATTATTTGTTGAATGAGGGATGCTGAATATGTCATTTTATTTCTATTATCTTTCCTTCTGTTTATCTTTTTCAGCCCTTTTCAACCTGATCCCTGTGGGCCTCCGGGTTGTGGCAATCCAGGGAGTGAAAGCTAGCCTCTATGTCGCAATGAATGGAGAAGGTTATCTCTACAGCTCCGTAAGTGCCATTCAGTTTTTTTTTTTTTGTCTTGTTGGGGGGAAGAAGATGTGATGCTAACTGAAGTTAAAATGAAAATAACAATAGAAACTTGGTATGTTGGAAATGTTAGCCATTGCTTAACTTCATGAAACATCATTGGTGCCAACTTGTTTCGAAAGTTCCTTTCTCTGCATACTTGGTTATAAGCCTGTAAACGTGTTCATAGACTGATCAACAATGACATAGCAGCATATTAAAATATAACATATAATTTTCTACTCATATGATGACTGTGGGGCCTGTAAAAAGGATCAATATCTGCTCATTGAGGAAGGTCAGGTACTCCATTGAAACACGTCTGGTTCTTCCCAAAAAGAAACTATTTCTTTGTTTTTCTTCTTTCATATTCAGATACTGGGGTCACTGGATTTTCCCCCCATGTTGCTCTTGTCACTGCCACTGGGGCAAGTTAAGCTTTTGGATCTCTCTCATGTTTTCAACTTCTCTGTACCAGGTTAAATAAGGAAGTTCACTTTTTATTGTCTATTAGAAAATCTTGACTTAGAATCAAACTAGTTTCTCTCCAGACACAAACTGTTCCTTGGGCTTCTATTGGGCAAACTTAGAAAGTACCCATAATAGCTCTGACTTACAATGGTAAGGGTACCTTCTCTTGAGGGGACTCACTTCTAGAATATGCTGGGAAAATAAAATGTACTAAGTTCAGCCTTGGAAATTTGTTATCTTACATGCAGTGAGCTTTTTAAAAAAAGTCTTCTGGAAAAAGGATTTTCCTTGTTTCAAAATTATTTTTTTTTAATTTTCACTTAGTGAATATCACTCCTTTCCAATTCCACTATAAATGTAGCCAATCTCAGTGAAGATTTTAAATTCATTAGAGAAAATCATTAGAATTCACTAGACTCCAAATTCATCATTAAATAGGTCTTATTGGCCTTTGTGGTGATTCCGAATAAATGAATTTCAGCTGCACATTTGTTTGTTGGCCAACCTCACTCATCTAATTAAATTATCCAAAAAAATTTTATCATTTTTTTTCTTCAGCATACATGCAGAATCAGACCCTGTAATTCAGGTGTGCATACACTCATTGTCCAAGGTAGGATTGAAAGACAGATTTCTGCTCCTTAACATTCATTTGAAAGTGTAGACTTTCATTCAAAATGCATCCAATTTCCAACAGTTGCCCACATTCCAATGACATGAAACTAATTCAAACAAAAGGAAGAAAGACAAACCAAAAGACAAAAGCTTGGCACGGCTCCAGTTGGGGAACAATAGGTTTGCCTTTGAGGTATTTAAAAATGAAACTAAATCAACAATGAAATCCCACTAAAACATAACAAAACACCTTTGTTATCAGTGATCTTCTGGTATGGTCCTTCAATGGGAAGTCATGAAGAATCAATTCATGATCCAGAAAGCAAGGGCTATGTATACTGCAACCACTAGATTCTGATAAGCCCTTCTGACAACCAATGAATGATTTCTTGACAAAAAACTCAATAAAATCATTGATCTAGTCTAAAATCAAAGGCCTAGGATTGGGATTTTTCCAATGACATCTACATTTAGTCTATTTCAAAGTTCATCCCTCACCTGGGTAGGTTACTTTGTGCTGCTGATTTGTTCAGGGAAAAAAGTTTGTAAATGAAATCATATCTTAAATGCAAGTGGGCAAGTAGGTGCTCAGGTTGTAACAGGAAGCTATAGAGAAGACAGCTGTGAATGAACAGGCACCTATCCTTAATGAAAGCCTCACTAGGTGTTTCAACTGACTTCAGGGCACTGTCCAATCTGATGGGCAATGAGCCTGATGAGCCTGGTTTGGCTAATCCATGAATGAGGCTTGGAGAACAAAATATTGCAAAGACATCAAAGGGCTAGGCCAGAAGGAGGAAGGAGTTACTTATGAGGGTGGCAGTGGAATGCAGGGACAATTCTGTTAATCTGAGGTGGTTATATAAAATACCTTGAATAGGGAAGAAAAAGGAGAAGTCAGAGACTGGGTTATCAGACAAAATCAGGCAAGGGCTTTGTGGTAAAGTTTCCAGTAGGCTGTCTGGCATCAAGTGCCATTAGGACAGATCTGGATAGAGTTAATGAACAAGTAGGAGGTGAATCTGAGCACAAAAGTCCAATCTGGTGTTTGGCCTCCAAACTTGAAAGGAAGAAAAAAGGAGGTAGAAAATGGAGACTAGACTCATAGAATCTGAAGCTAGAGGAGACCTTGTGAAAAATAGTCTAATTGCCTCATTTTACAGTTGAGACCATGGAAATTGAAGTACAAAGAGAGAGCAGGTTCATAATAGGCATAAGTAGCTGAGATCAGGTTGGAACCCAGATTCTCTGACCATAAATCCAGTGATCTTACTAGCAGTCCAAGAAAAGCAGTGCCAGGATGAGGAACAAGGCAGAGCTTGATAACCCTTCAGGTAAGGAAGAATCCTTTGTAATGCAAATGGTGGATAACCTTATTGTTCATCCATTTGGTGAATCTAGGTTTTTATATTTTGGGTCTACTTAAAGTGAAAGGTATAGGTGTCAAGAAAGGTTTCATACTTCAGAGATGTGACATCTCCTGGTTACCAAAAAAAAAATTATTCCTTTAATTCTCAAAATGTGACATCATTGTTGTCACCTTTGGCAAATGAGAGGAGGAAAGAAGGTCTACATTTCAGGATGCTTAGATGGCTTCTGAACTGAATGACTGGACTCAAATGCCTTGTCATAAATGGTTCTATGCATAAGTAGAAGTTGGTTTTGAGTGGTCTTGAAAGTCACAGCATTTGGGAATGCATTGATTAGATGGGGTTTTGCATGCAGAGTAAAGAGGTGGAAGGAAGGATTGTAGTGAGTTAAGGTCCGGTCCTTAAAACTGAATTTCTTGAAATGTGGGTGGGCAAAAATTAATAGTCACAGGATTACAAGCTGATAACTGGAGTGAAGTCCAAGCAACAACTCATTTGTGTTTGTCACTAGCTAGTAAACATGCATTTATTAAGCTCTTATATTCCGAACATTATTCTAAGTGCTAAGGATACAAAGAAAGATGGAAAAAAAAAGTAAATAAGAAACATAATCTATGTCTTCAAGGAGCTAGCCTTCTAATGGAGGACACAGCATGTAAATAACAGTGCATTCATGGTATCTGCAGAGTAGAAGGAAGAAAATCTCAGAGGGAGAGCTTTGAAAGGGGAGGCAAGGCCTTAGAGACCTGGAAAGGCCTGAGTTAGGAGGTCAGATTTGAACTGAGTCATGAAAAAAAGCCTAGAAGCTAAAAGAAAGAAGAGCATTGCAGAAATGGGGATAGCCAGCTCAAGGGAAGAGAGGTGGGTGGTGGATTGTCTGAGGAAATCAGCAAGGAGACCAGTGTAGCTGGATAGTAGAGTTCATAGAGGGAGTCAAGTATAAGAAGACTGGAAATAGAGCAAAAGACCATGTTGGTAAGGGCAGCTGTAAATGCCAAAAGGAGTTCATATTTGATCCTGGAGATGATAGGGAGCCACTGGCATTTACAAATCAGTTTGGCAGCTGAGGGGAGGATATTCTAATGGGGGAGATGAAGGCAGAAAGAGCATTTTACAAAAGGCTTTTGTTAATTGTAAGATTGTAATTCGTTCCTGTTTCATGGAGTGCAGGACAGCATGGGAGTAACTTGTTCCATGGAATGGAAACCAGGAAAACAGCAGCTGAACAACGAAGTGAGCTGAGCATGTGCATTTAATCTTCTGTAATGGTAGGCACTGGGAGGAGTTTGGTACTCTATCCTAAAGCCCTGCAATCAGAAAGGAGAGGAGGCTGAAGGAGAGTGATGTCCAAGCTTGAGGTAGCACCATGCTGACGAGTTTAGAAGTGATGAAGTTATCTTGGAAGGAAATGATGAGCTTATCCTGGAAGGGGAGTATTCCTCTTTGGAGTTGAGACCAGGAAGAGTAGTAGACATAGAACTGTTAAGACTAGAAATTGGAATGGAAGGTGAGCACTAAAGAACATTACCCAGCATCTTTCATTGAAATATCCAGGCATTGACGGTAAAAAGGTTTCTGCATCAATGACCTTGCTGTGCTCCCCCAAAGGTTGCAGCTATGTCATAGACATCAGTTTCTTCTTTGTTCCCTTACTTAACCCCCTAATGAATGATCTACTCTGATTGGGTACTTTCCAAGTTTTAGGTATTTATCTTTTTTTTTCCATTCCTTCTTGACAGGGCAACCTTTGCCCACTGAAAGAAAACCTCTCTTTGAAGAGGGTACTGATTTTAATCCAAGAAGATTAACATTCAGTGATGGAGCATTGGAAGTAAAGAAAAAGGGAAGGAAGAGGAAGGGGGGAAAGGATAAAAGTGAGGGAGGAAATAAAGGGGTGCAGAAGAGAGGAAGAAAGGAAGAAAAGAAGCAGAGATGGAAAGAAATAAAGGAAAGGAAGGAGGCAGGGAGGAAAGGAAGGGAAAAGAAAGGAGAGAAGAAGGAAGGAAAGGAAAGAAGGAAAGAAGAAAGGAAGGTTGGAGGGAGGAAAGGAAAGACAAAAGGAGGGGAGAAAAAGGAAAGAAGGAGGGAGAGAGGGTAAGAGGAAAAGAATGAAAGATGAAAGAAAGAAGGAAGGAAGGAAGGAAGGAAGAAAGGAAAGGGCAAATATTGATATCATTTTTTTTTTCCTCAAGCAAGGGGTTTAGAGTTTCTAGAACTCCATTTTCCTTCTAAATCACTACCAAATAAAAATCCCATTATTTTCTCAGAAGTCAATACTACTGCTGTTATTGGCATCATTATTTTCATCAGATAGTATCAAAGAGCTTTTATCAAATGTTTTGTAAAAGTAATAAGTTGTGATGATTGTATTGGGGCTTGGACTTGAGCCATTTTTGAAGCAATCAATCCGATGAATGGCCGCCTAGGGCTGGGCTCCCAGATCATGCTTTCAGTGCTGCTTATGCTCCTGGGCCATCTTTTTTAAGAGCCCCAGTCTGAGTACAACAGCTTGAGCCAGATTTCTCA